GAAAAAATAAACTCTTTTTTCAAAACGAATTGCTCAAAATAATTTTTTAGTTCAATATGCATTTTAAAACGCATATAATAATGAATAAATATGCATATAAGAATGAATAGACACGCGTATAAGAATGAATAACCCTGTAATATTAAATAGTTAACTTTGGTTATTGTTTAAATTGTTACAAATTGATACGCATGCGCATCATTATGTGATATTTATAATGCCCTTCATTTTTCTTAAATAAAAAACATCCTTTTTTCAAGTCTAATAAGCGTCCTTATGTCATTAATTTCTTACAAATAAAAAATCAGATTTTAATCTAAAAACTTAAAGTTATGAAAAAACATAGAAGTAAGTACTTTTAGTTCTACATTTACCGAAAAAGTGGTTGTAATTTATTTTAAAACTTATTGTATCACGTGAAGAAGTAGTAAAAGTAATAGAGTCCTTTTAATTCAACATTTAATATATAAATCATGAGAAGAAGTGGTTAAATTTGATTGAAGACAGATTGTTAATGAGAATCAAATTAAAACAAATTGCATCACGAGAAGTAGTGGAAAAATATTGCTATACTATAGCTAGTGAGATTAAGAGAGTAAGTTAGCTCTTATACGAAAATATTTAAATTTCATCTGTTTGATAAATTTTTTATGTTCTATTTCTGTTAAACATATTCATTTAAGTAAAATATACGTCACAGTTTCTCCTTAACTCAGTTAGTAAATAAATAATTTAAACAAAAAATTGTTTTTGTTTCTAACTGTTATATGGTTTTAAATTTATGCATGACATAATTTTATTGTTGCTTATATTACAACTTTATAATATACTTTAAAAAGACACCTCTGCCAAAATATATATAAGTATATGTATACATATATATATAAATATATATATATATATATATATATATATATATATATATATATATATATATATATATATATATATATATATATATATATATATATATATATATATATACATATATATATATATATATATATATATATATATATATATATATATATATATATATATATATATATATATATATATATATATATATATATATATATATGTATATATATATATATATATATATATATATATATATATATATATATATATATATATATATATATATATATATATATATATATATATATATATATATATATATATATATATATATATATATATATATATATATATATATATATATATATATATATATATATATATATATATATATATATATATATATATATATCTGCCTATAATGAATAGCCGAATGAATATTATTATTATTAGTGCGCATAGTTACGCATTGTTAGGCCTATTGTCCGTTTTGTTAATTACGGTTCTGCATAATTTCTTCCAATCTTTAGTAAAAAACAAAACTTCGTTTTAAACTGCAAGATGCAAAGTTTTAAGGATGATTCAAAACGGCATTTACTGAACATGAAATTCGATATACTAGATTTCAAATACCTTTTTTGAAAACAATTTAAAGGTTTAAACTAAATCACTTAAAAATAAATTAAATCTTTAACACTTTCTTTAGCTTTTATTAAAATGGTTTCAAACCATTAGTATAAAAGATAACGAAAATAAAATTGTCTTTTTCGTTCATTTTTTTGATGATATTAAATAATCAGCCCAAATACTTATGTTTACATATATTGCTTTTTTTTGTTGTTTTTTTTGTTTGTTTTTTTAATTAAACAACACATTTTTTGTGTGTTTTTATAACTTTCATGACTTTTTATCGTTTTTTTTTTTTTATTTTTAAAATTATTCTGCTTGAAGATTGTTAGCAATAAATTATTTTATTGCTGAAGTTTTTGATTTGTTTTTGTTTTTGTATTTATACTGTCTTTTTGTCTTTTATCATTTATTGTGCATGTAATTTTTTGTGTGACGGGGCTCAGTGATAAGACAACCTGTCTTCATCTTGCTCCGGCCAGGATTTTCTTTTATTGTAATTTCTTTTTTGTAATATTTATCAACGGCAAATTAAATAAATGATTGAAAAAAAATTAAAAAAATGAAAAATATTATGTAAAATACACTATTTCTTGTATGAGTTGTTTCTAGACTTTTCTAAGCGCAGTTATATATTCCATGCGGTCTTTCGAGTAAAATCACCAAGCATATTGGAGCTGATGCACTTATTTTCAAAAAGAATTGATGTTTATTTTTTAAAATGAAAAATTAATTGCTAGTTTGTTGTTGCTTATTTTTATTTTTTCTAATTTTTATAGTCTGTTTTTATTTTTTAGAAGAAGTTAGAACTAAAATGTTTGGTAAAATAGTTTTTTTAGTAAAATGTTTCTTTTTTAGTAAACTGTTTCATTTTGTCGTTAGGTTTTTTAGAACATTTATTCAAGTATTGTTTTATTTTTTAGAGCTGTTAAAAAAACCTGATGGTTTTTTAGTAAGTTCAATTCGTTTTGAATTTAATAGATAAAGATTGTTTTTTGCAAAAAGAATTATATATGAAATAAAGTTTTATATATATATTTAATATGAAAAGTTAAATAAAATAAGACTGTTATTTGTGTTCATGTAAGCTTATATACATAAGTTTGCATTTATTTTAGTCTATTTTATTTTTCTCTATATCTATACTATATGTATATTTTCTCTTAGCAAAAGTTATTCAGAATAAAAAAATAAAAAAAATTATTATTAAATATTATTAAAAAAAAAATTATTAAAAAATAGAAAAATTTAGAAAATTTGCTCTAATATTAGTCAAAAGAGTGTTGTGTTATGCTTCATTTTAAGGTATCTAAATATATATTCATTTTTAATTTTGTTTTTAAATGGTTTATTCTTTTTCACTACTTTAGATAAACATAAAAAATATGTTTAAAAAAACTAAGTGACATAACTTCATTTAAAAAACTAACTGACATAACTTCATTTTTATTAACAATGTCGTGCATTTTAGTCTGCATTCTTGTTACATTTAAAATAATTGATGCTAATAAATGTTGTTTTATAGTTGTTAAAAGTTTGCATATATGTTTGTATGTATATTATTATCAAAGTTAAAAGTTTTTTGATAAATACGTGTATGTGGTGATAGTACTCAGGTATCACCACAGCTTATCTCTATCAGGTACATTGATTTTCAATTCACATATGATGTTTTTCTTTGTATTTACTTATTCGTTACACTTTTAACTTCAGATTTATGGTGTATTGATTTGCTATAGAAGAACAAATTATTTTGAATTTTTTAAAAATATCTACACCAATCAACATTTAAAGTTCAATGTTGCATGTACCATTTTTAAGTAGCTTCTAGGCTTTTTTAATTCTTTTCTTATTCAAGTGGTTTCATAAAAAAGGTCTGCAAGCAAATTTGAGATGAAAAGTTTTTCAGCTTTCAAGGAGTATCAATAATGTTCTCTGTATAATTTAATTTGTTTAACTAGAGTAGTTTTAGTAAATAAATGTTTGTTTGTTCTTGGTTTTTTACTTATTTGTTTTCAGATTCTTAAGAACTAGACAACTTCGCAAAACAAGATTTATTATATTTTTTAGTGCAATTGGAAAGAGCTAAAGTGCTTTTTAGTCACTTCAAACCATTTGTTTCTTTTTTTAAATAGAAGAGTTAATAATAAAAATATTTAAACAGTCGAACTGTTACTGATTTAAGCAAGTTTAATGTTTTGTTTAATTTTATATTAGATATATATTTTATGTATTTAACATGAAAAACTGACAAAAATAATAACAGTTTCAATTTTAGATGATTTTTTTTTTTTTTTTTTTTTTTTTTTTTTTGCAATCTTAAACATAACTGTGTTCATTTTTTTTTAGTTGTCTTTGTCATCACTTGATTATTTTATTATTGCTTACTGTTGAAACATGGTTTTAATTTTGTAAATTTAATATAATGTGAAATTTACAATATTAATCATTTGTCAACAGTCAGAGAGAAGCTGGAAATTAATTAAGAAATGCTGGAAATTAATTAAGAAATGCTAGAAATTAACTTTTAGTTTAGGTGAAAATAATTTTGTTTATTGGTAGCATAATAAAACCAGATACTGTTATTTATTGCATAACTTTTTTACTTTTTCTAACATGGTGTTTTTAAAACACTTCCTCTCTCTTATATGAGACTTAAATAAGAATTAGTATTGAGAATTGTAGAGAAAGAATTGATTAAACTCTGTAATTACTGAGCTCTGATTAAACTCTGTATTTACTAAGCTCTTGCGTATTTTTTAATACTGCAATTGATAATTTGCTACTTAAAGATATAATTCTTTAATTTGTCCCTTGGTTATTCAAATATTGTAATAAATAAAATCTTTTTAGTTCCAAGTATTTTCTCTTAGGGATTGTCTATATATTACGTAACGCGAAATTAAACATAGACAAAAGAAATATCTCAAAGCGTGTTTCTCTCATGGTCAACTATATGCTGCATTTTCAAGAACTATAGCATTAAATAGTTTGATTTTCAAAATTGATAACCATCTTATTCAAGGTATAGTAGGTAAAAAAATGTATCATATATATTGTTATATTTTTTAAAGTTCTTAATTTATAGTCTTTAGATGTTCATTTTGAAAATTTACTGTTAAAAGTTGTAAGCACATTTTGTATGTATAACTTTATTTATCATTATTTATTTTTTTTTTTATAGTTTTTGGTAAATATATCTATCATTCAATAGTTGTAAAATGTGATTACACATGTTACATAAAGTCATACTTGTATATAGTTATATATATGTTTAAATTATAAAAGCCAAAACAACAATTTATATCTTAGTTAGATTTTTTTTTAAGTATTGTTAATGCTTTGGTACTTCGAAACAGGTTTTATAGTTACATTTTTGATAAATCTTTAATTGCAGTTTCAAAATAGGTTACTATAAATAGGTAAATCGATTTTTGGTAATTGTGTAGTGGTTTTTGTATTTTTTTCTTCTTTGTAATTTTGATATCATAATTTCATTACTTTTTTTTTAGAATTACGTTATGACGCATTTATAAGATTTATAAAATAAAAAAACCTGATTTCTTTTTATTGTAAATTTTTGTTAGTTAAAAAGATATAAATATATGCTATAAGTTAATTTTATATTTTATCTATTTTATGCCTAATAATTTGTTATACGTATTTTAAGGGGATCTTTGTAAATGGGGGGGTCGTAACTAAAAACCTTTTAAAAATATGGAGAATATGGTAGTTTTGCGCATTAATATCGAGTTACTTTAATTTTACTTATGTGTTTAACTAATTAGTTAGCTTAGTCTGTATTTGCAACATTTTAGAGGAAAGAAAGAAAACATTCTTATATAAGTAGATCATTGTTTTACATTTTATTATTTTATTTTATTCACTTGGCCACCATTAAAGCAAAGAGAGGAAAGGAACCTCTTTATTAGAGTCAAAATTTTTTGGAAAATTAAATTTTGAGTTACAATAAAAACATTTAGTAAATGGTGATAAATTACCGTTTACTAAAAATTTAATGAAATAAAGAGGCCAAACAAATAATATATAAATGGTCTTTGTTGAATAGACTTAACAAGACCCGGATCGGGTCAGCTTGGTTAACAAATTTTTATGTCTACTTATCTCATATTTTTTATTTTAGTTTGTCATATGATGCATTAATGTATTAAAAAATTTGATATACCCATGTTTGATCGTAAATTAAATTTTTTTTTTTTTGAAAGGTATTTGTACTCGGTTGCGTAGTTAAGGTGAGTTTCCACTCATCCGTTTTTCAACGGGAAAGGGAAAGGGAACGGAAAAATAATCACGTGAGCATGCGCAGTTTTCTTTCGGACAAATAAAAGCCTTTATTACGCATGCTCACATGATTATTTTTTCCTTTCCTATCCCGTTCCCGTAGAAAAACGGATGAGTGGAAACTTGCCTTTATAATAAACTTGTTATTTTTTATAAATTTATTTAAATGTGTGCATTTAACATTTTTAAGTTAACAATTTTCTTTTCTAAAGAACAATTAATCAAGGGGATATCAAAAAATTGTTAACTCCTCTATAATATAAGTTAACTTAATTTAAATATTAATGGTTCGTGTTATAAAAATTATTACAAGGATTTTGTTGGCACTTTCGTCAATTTAAAGCATGACCAAATGTTATTATTTTGTAAAAACGTATTGTTTTAAACTTAGGAAGGTTGATGAAAATGGTTTTGCCATACACTGTTATGACCTATGCCATTTGTAAATTACTTAAATAATGTTAAGTTGTATTTGTAAATTTTAAGTAGTAGTTGGTAAATTATTTTACCTCCTCATAATTTTTATGTTAATTTTACAGATGGATTAAGTTTTTCAAGCTAAAGGCGATTTTCTAAAAGGGTATTACCC